AGAAGGTGTCTAGTGTAAGCCCTGTGACAAAGAACTATTGTTTTGCGCATGTTGAACTTTTGTCATCTTTCAATACTTGCTTGCTGGGCTTCTATTTACTGGCTGAGGAATCCGAGTTAAACTTGCTGCTTAAAGGCAAATACTGTGTCGTGCCCTAAATCAGTCCTGTTCTCTGTTACGATCTTTCTCATTATTGAAAATGCCCTTTCACTCGATGCATTGGAATGTGGTACAACAAGCAGACAGTATAATACAATAAAGTATAACAATGTCACATAAGATGAGTAAATATTTACTTTATGCTGGTTGACACTCTGTGAAGTTGAATTTTGCGACACTATTATTTTTGTTGAATTATTTAAAAGGTTGATATAGGGAGATTCTGGTCGGGAGATCGTGAAACAGGACTCCATATCTGGAAACTCCCGCCGAAATCAGGAAAGTTGACAGGACTGAACTCAAAATAAAATATTGAAATAATAAACTTGCAGATAAAACCGATAATAGTTTAATGGACATCAAGGCGTGATTATATTAGGTGTAGGAAGGCTAATTAGGCTTAAATATGACATTTCTTTCACTTTAAAGAGGTACCGTAACTTGAACATGAAATCGAAACCCTAAAGGTCAACTGTGTGAAAGGAAATACTTCAGCTTTACTAATTATCACGAAAATATTTTCTTAAACACTTCTAAATAGAATAATCTAAACGAACAAGTAAATTACACGGAAAGTTACATCACTAAAAGCTTCTGATTAATTTTTACTCTAATTGGGCTCAATTAAAATATTAACAGCTCCTGTTAGGATATCATAACCAGACATATGATGATTTAAAAAGCCTATTAAAAACACGTGTACTAATTTTTGACTTGCAGCTTACGTGGGAAGAATACTCAAATGAGTACTCTACAGAACTCCCCGAGGATATTATAATGTAGTATCTACATTACTTACAAAGCAGAAGCGCCATAATTTCTTGGGAACTGGGGATTCTGGTATTCATTTAAAACATCTTTTGTGTGTGTGTTGTTGTTTTCTTAATGCAAAGCTACATTGTGGGCTATCTGCATTATGTCAACCGCAGGGAATTTAACTCCAGATCTTAACATTGCAATTCTGCAAATGTTCCGTTGGACTATCGAGTGACCTTTTTTATGTACTTTCTGGTATAACATCTTATTAGCCTCATATAGTTACATAACGAAAATAATGCTTTGATATTTACCTGATTGTCATATCAAACGCAATGTTTTAAGCACTGGTATATCCTTTTCCGTTTTGTCATTTATGAAACCTGGCGAATATTTAATTTTTCGTATCATAACCTTCTCTATAAATGAAGCTTTTATCCCTAGGACGTTTAAATCATATCTTCTTTTTCTGTTTGTTTGTTATGAATTTCGCACAAAGCTACACGAGGGTAAGACTAGAGGGAAGGCAACTAGTCTTCACCGCCAACTCTTGGGCTACTCTTTTTTCCCACAGATAGTGGGATTGGCTGTCACATTATAACGCCCCCACGAGCATGTTTGATGTGACGGGGATTCGAATGCGAGTAGAGCGCCCTAGTCATCTAGCCATGCTGGGCCCTTCTTTTTTAAAATGTATCCAGAAAATACACATTCCCGGGCATTTATAACAAGTACATAAATGAAATATATATTTCGTGTTATTACCAATACTATAATAGTCGATTGTTCTACTTCAGGCCAACGACGTTGATTTTTACATTTACGAAGTTCTACATTACTGTCCATATCCAACATCAGTCAGGATTTGAACAAGGAACTCACGATTTACGAGGGTTGAGTATATTAAATTAATACGATTTTGAAAATAAACCAACAAGTCACGCAAAAACCATATCTGATATAGAGTTGCAGTGGAGTGATATGCATCAGAACTACATTTTAACATTGTTTAATGCCACCAAAAGTGGATTGGTTGTTTTAAAACAGATAGGTAACAG